CGATTGTACACAAAAGTCAACTTTTTAAACTTCCTTTTTGATACTGTGTAAACATCACACGACAACAAAAGGTCTTCAACTCAATTAAATGTAGAGTTATGAGTAACGACTAGTGAAAATTTCAAATAAGTTTGAATTAGTTATCAAGTAATTCCTAGCTTTCAATATTTCTCAAGTTGGTGTTAGTCTCCGATGAAAACTAACATGAAACACAAGAAAATTATAAGCTACCATTACAGAATAATAGTTAGGTGCCCTATCCTAAATTCATTTTGTTTTATTACGAAGAAACTATTCAGGATGAAATTCAAGTGTTGTAAGAAGAGAGAAAGTTCTGATTATTTGATTATTATGAAAGTATGGTTCATTGAACAAACTTGGTGTGACATCAACTCCAGTGTTTAAAAAAAGTGACATGATTAGGTTATGGTTGATGCATTTATCAGAGAAAATCTGTTTGGATTTAGTTAAAACAAAATACTCAGTGGATAACAGTTTTATCAAGGGCATTAAGCGATTAACCTAATAATTTGTGCCTGGTCAAATACGTTTTCTCAGCTATATGTCGGACTAGTGTGTTTAATGAGTAGGTGCAAACACTCTTTACGATTCGGCTGTCTTCTGGCTAAATAAGAAAGTAGCCAAATTATCAAACGTGTCAAACCACAGTATTTATTAAGACTAAGTCAATCATGTTTATTGAAATTTAAGGATATAACCACTTGTCATTGACCATTACCAGAATGTTAAAGTAGTTATTTCATCTAAGTAAGTGACATACTTAATAGCATTTTTAATTTCTTCGATTAAGTTTTCAATTTCTTTCCAACTATCTGTCGAACTAATTTCCATTAGTAGATGACAGCATGAAAATCTTTTTGTCAACTTTTCTATACTCAAAATACAGTGAAAAAAGGTATCATCATTGATAATCAGCTTGTCCAAGAGAAATTATTCTTCTTACTATCATACTTTCAACACAATTTACACTCAGGCATTGATCAATTGAATCGAAGCATTTAAAAATTTAGCAAGTCATTGAGATAAATTCTTTCTATACATGACCTTTATATGGTTATGCATTTCCACCGGCTTAAACATCACATTCTTTCTATTTATTGTACATTGTTGCATATGTATCTCTCTATCTTAGTAGGCAGAAAAATGACATCAATGAAAGTAATGATAATAATGCTGTGTTAGCTGATGCGATTTACACTGTTGAATCAGTTTTTAGACAAATCAACATAAATTACATTCCGGACAACGTAAAAATAACATAACTAGTAAATGTTACAAATAAGAAGTGATCTATTTTAAATTAAAATAAAATATCAAAATTTTAAACAGTTAACTAGCAAGCATACATATTTTGATGCACAAATTATCTATGAATATTGTTATGTTGAATTCCAGTCATTGTTTAACTGTACTAGTAATAAATGGCTTTACTTCAGACCGCTTGCTTTCTTTCCTTATAAATATTTTCTATCCCGCTAAAGTTCCTCGATTGGATGATTACGTGGTTCCGTGAGGAATTCTAATTCGGAAACATTCTCCATCTAACTCTAACTGACAGATTATTAAACAATGACAACAAATTTTGTAGGGTACACTTTTGAAAACCGATGAAAAGTTTTCGAACGTTAACTTCTTATTACTAAATTATAAGATATTTTAACTGATAATAAACACTGAATAAATCTACTGTGAGAAAGATTGTTGTTACATAGACTAGTAGATAACTTCACATTCAACATTACCTGAGGTATTTCCGAATGTCACTTACATCACTTACCCATATCTTCAAAGTTAGTACATTTCCGGACAACATAAAAGAATAAAAAACCAAACAATCAATATGTTCAAACAAATAATAGCTTGAGAGACTGAAATAAATGTTTCAGGATTCGCTATAAAGCAAACCAGAACACAATGCCCAAAATTTCTAGAACGTAAATTCAACAGCACTATAATAGCTGGCTGTACTAACAATAAATATAAAGCTTTTAGCATTTATGTATTTTACTCCCTCTAGAACAGTGCATTTTTCAAAAGAGTCCCAGTTAAACTTCAATGCAATGTGAACATTTCGTACACTTGTTTGATGTTTTAAAATCAGTATGAAGTAGTGTTATTGTTTGTACTCAACTTTTTAGGTTATAAGACTCAATGTAGTTTCATTGAATCAGAATGCTATATACTTTGCTCATAGTTATGAGGATCTTTCCACCATTACATGAAAACAATTAAATTCAATAAATGAGATGTAACAATGTGAAATGATGAGAAATTTAGCATGTTATTCGACATTTCAACCTCCCCTTTTTCATTTGCTTATATTCATTAGAATGGTCAAACTGTGTTACTGACCTTGGTTCAGTAAAAGTATCACTTGCAGTTTGTTCAGGCATGTACAAATTGTTCTCGGTAGCCTACAAACTATGAGAAGTACTTTAGTCAGTACTATATTTTCAGATACGATAAATGGTATACACAACTAAATATACAGTATTCTTCTTCCAATCAGGTTTATTTGCCGGTTGAGTAAGATTTACCGCCACTTCCTTTCAGCATTATCAGTTTAAATCGATGAATCTCAACTTATTCACCGTTGGTTTCTCTCAAGAACCAATAAGACAATGCGTGAAACGTTATGGTATTTGTGTTCACCATAACCAATAGGCTGTGCCTGGTTTGTAAAAGTGAATGATTCCATCTTACTATCTGCTTTATTAAAACGAATGTATTACAATAGCTGGTCAGTTTTAGAACTGGTAAGTAACTGAAAAGTTTCACAAAATCAATAGGTTTTTTGATCACTGAAATTTCATTGGTTCTTAAATTTGGTCACTTTCAGCTCAAGTCATAGGTATGTCATTTTACTAGGTTTATTCTCACTCAGTAGCTTCGTTACTTGAATTTTGTTTTTGCAGATAAAACAAGCATTATGTAATCTAAAAACTATTAGTCATTAAGTGGCGTGATGGATTCACTTTCAAATTGCTTTTATTAAAATAAATTCGACATTTAACCTGTTCAATTTTCACTATTTCAAATTTCAATATTCAACGATTTTCCTGTGCATAGAATGCATCTTATAAGAATGTAGAAGAAATTTATTCAAATAAAATTTAGAATATAGAGAAGTTTTAAAATGCTTTTTTTTCAAATTTATAGATAAAAAACAAATTACGCAAACAGTAATATTGTAATCAGTGAACAATGAACTGTTTTTGCATTTTAACTAATTTAACTTTCACCGCTTAATTAAATCATCATGAATGCATAAGATGTATAGTTAACTTTTCAAGACACATAGAACAGTGCATCGCTGTTGTCAATATTCTGTCCGCCTAGTGTGTCTTGCCGAGGTGTATTATTATTATTATTAATGCATTAAATTTCTGCAAAAAGTCTCATAGTTTTACAAAAATTGTCACCAAAATTACAAAAGGTTCACTGGAATTTTTTCTCATGACAGACAGGATTCCGTGACAACTTATGTGAAGTGAGGCCAAGTGATAAGGACTGTGGATCATAATTTTTACCGTTTTGTGAATAATTTCAGAAGACGAAGAGGAAGAAGAAGAGACTGAACGCAGCGATCCAGTATTCGGTGTATTTTTTAGTTCTATTTTTTTTTAACTGAACATGATGAAGCTTGTCCAAAGGATTTGCGTGGAAAAAAAATTTCTAGTAACTATATACACGTATTTTTTTTTCGAAAACAGTCAAACTTTGAACGATCATGTAAGGACACATATGATGCACACATAATTAACAAAAGAAAAAAATACTTAGGTCGAAAATGTCTGGCCAAATAGAAAAAAAAATTCTACAAAAATTCCAATCTACTAGAACAAAGGTTGACTGTTTTAAGCATTCCCAAATGTTACACACAAATGTTAGCCGTGAAATATGACAGAAAATCGATCTCAGTGGAAAGTAGTAGTGAAATATGCAGTAGAAAAGGAGAATAGTACACGGTGACTGATGTTGTATCTGTTGCTATGGGAAAACATTTGGTTGGTGTATACAACTGACGGCGATTGTTAAAACAAATGTTACCATCAGCACATTGTATGATAGCAAGAACGACTAATTTCTTTTATTATTTGAACGATTTCATTTTAATATGAAAACTCTGTATTCATTTTTTTAGTCAACTACGGTAATGTTTCCCAGTTCTGTTTTATCATACATCTTAGCAAGGATTCATGTAAATCTGTATTATTTTTTTGATAGAAAGCTTCCTGTTTTGTGATGTACATGAAGGTAAAGTGTTAGTTTTGATGCCAGATAACATAAGGTAATACAGTGCCTAGTTATCTGAACAGTTTCAAAACCATATTTTCCCTATTAGCAGGAGGTCATGTTCAAATTGATTCAAAATTTAAAGTTAGATGACTGATTCATATTTAATCAATCATATGCTTTGATTTATTATTATTATTATTATTATTGTCGTTAAATTCATTTTATTTTCTTGTAAAAGTGCTGAAATCGCAGACAATCTTAGCCGATATCAAAGCGACACTTTTCATGTTAGGATTATAAGCATTAAATAGTTTTCGATAGGTTGTTTAATGTCTGCAATTGTTCTTCTGTTTAGTAATTGTTGGAAAATAGCTAAAGCGGCTTCTCAGTCTTATCTAGTCGGCTTAATGGCCTTTGACTTCAGAGTCACTGCTTATACCAAAGACTTCAAAAGTACTTATGAATAGAGGTTAATCAGATATTCTAAATTAATGTAATTGACGTTAAAAGTTCGAATGAATCTTGGTGTGATAGTGACTTTTCTGATGAAAGATCACAATTCAACAATCCGGAATTGTAGTGGATTTAGCTAACAGAGAGACTTGTATTTCTTTCTTATTCTTCTCCATTTTTTCTCTACGAAATGTCAATATGTCAGGTAAAGTATGTTTAGTTGTCAATTAAGACGAAAATTCAACTAAATATTTATTTCCGATAATGATTAATAATTGTGAACTTACCTCACGGAACTTAACCATAGCCTTAGATATTTTAGTATCTGGAGGTATCCAAGTAAAGTGTATTTCACGACGATAACATTTGAGAATAAATTGACCTGGCAGCGATTGACAATAATGTGGTTTCACAATAAGCAGTGGAGGTTTCGGAACTTCATCTTCAGGAAATTGGAAATTGTCTACATCTGTCCGGTTAAGATTGATGAACACTATTGTTACATTGGAAGTTGCTAATGTTGTTGTCATAAGTGTATTGTTCATTTTGTGTGAAAATTTTGTTATGAAATTAAAGAACTTCTCCGTAAACTGTAAATCCTCAAAACGATGTCTTCTGTAGAATGATTAGAATTTCAGTCGGAATGGTATACAAATTGAAATAATTTAGGAGAATTATGTTTTCAATGAATGGTCTTCGATAAAAAAAATAACTGATGTGAATTCTCCACCTATGCAACTGATTCAAATCACTTGTAGCGGGTAAATTAGACAAGTTGAAATCCTGAAGATGAAGTAATTTTCCTGTGCAATTACAAACCACAGTGATTGGAAAATTACGTGCTCATAATGTTTTTTTTTCTTTTATCTCGAGTACAACAACATGTGTGAAATGTTACTGTAATTTGTATTGTTCCACTGGAAACTGAAAAGGTAATTCCCCAAGATTTGGTGAATAAAGGTTACCTATGCAATATAGAACACATGTGAATAAGAAGTACACGTAGACAACACTTATGAATGAATTAGATAAATTTAAACAATTTCAATTATACGTCAGCACGCAGATTATTTTCTACCGATTCGCCCAACTATGAAAGCATTGTATACAGCATAACAAATAATGTAAAGCAGTAAATATTTACTGGAATAGGATAAAAGTGACTTACAACCATTTTGATAGGCTAGTTATATATTTTACATGTGATTCATCTCCCTAGTAGGAAAATTTCAATTGTGAATTTTAGTATTTTATTTTAGGCATCATGGCATAATATACTTGATAGGAGATATGTGAATAGGCAACCTGTTAGTGTGTGTGTGTGTGTGTGTATTTCTGCGTACCTATGCACGAAAATGGACTTTCTGCATTGAACATAAACAAACCTATTAATGCGCTTACAACTACTACCTGCCTATCGTGTACGGTATTGACTGTCTTGGGCACACAGAATGTTGTAGTGTTACAAACAGGTCAGATGATGATAGTAATAATGATGTATGTCTATTACATACTTGTATATAATCTGTTTAACATTTTATTGTGGATATAAAAAAAAACCAGTTAACTCGGTGCCCAACTACTGTGAAACGATTCGTGAAAATTTAGAAGAAAATTCTAATAAAAAAAAAGAAGTTAAGTCTAAGAACAAATTTCCATGAACATGGTTCAGATGACAACATCAGAATAAGCGGCGATCTAAATATATATATGTGTGTGTGTGTGTTAATATATGTTTTGTTGTTGTTGTTGTTGTTGTTGTCTCTGCCTACATTATCTTTAAGACCGATATTCAGATCAATCCATTGCGACTGCATTCAAAACTATTCCCATAGTTCTTTGAATTAGGTGTTTTGTTCCAGATTTTAATCATAAATCATCAACATGTCCTTAAATAGACAAACTCACTAAATTCCTAGAAGCACGTATTAATGAATAATCCTATTTTCGATTTATCGCTCATATTTAAAACATTATTATTTCAAACATGTTGACGAATCATTAAACTTGTAACTTCTACATAGTACACCGAAATGAATACATGAATTATGTTAAGAAAAGAATGTAATTCCTAACACAGTCTCAACTGTATCACATCTGTACACCAGTAAATTAGTCTGATCAATGTTCATTCCTTTTGGAGTTCCTTCTACTTAGTTCATTAATTATTTAGTTGAGATAAAAAAAAATCATTCTGCTTCGTTGTTCACATTACAAAATAAACTTTGAACTGCCTTCATGCCATGTTTCAGTAGAGATCACATTCACCAAGGAGAAGAATTTTGATGTGACAAGAAAATTAAACAATCAATCCTTGTTTTGTACATGTTTTGTTATAAGCCGAAATCATGAAAATAAGCACTCAAGAACTAGTTTGTGAATGTTTTCGAACGGTTAGCGAAAGTGAACTATCCAAGAATTCTGAAAACTAATCTGTTTGTTTAATTTTCCTTAAATAAAACTCAGCATTTACACAACTTTTATTCCACAACGCACTGTTGATTCTCGAACCTTGAAACTATGACACCAAGAGCGTAGCACTCATTTTCGTTAATGAGTTAATGAGTTTCCATAGAATGGCATAAATAATGAGTAGACAAGGAGATTAGGGTAAATGTCACTGCCAGACTCTGGTAATAATGAATCATTTTTTCAGGCAGAGTTTTGAAGGTTTGTGTTTTTACACATTTGAAATCATCAATCAATCATTGTTAGAACACCATTAGAAACCTGGAAGCACTGGACGACCGTTTCGTCCTGATATGGGACTCATCAGCAGTGTGCATCAACGGCTCCTGTATCTCGCAGGATTCGAACCCGAGACCTTCGGTTTTGTGCGCGAAAGCCACCGTTGGATACCGGCGCAGTGGTCCGACGGTTAGGTGTTCGCGCACAATACCGAAGGTCTGGGGATCGAATCCTGAGAGGTGCAGGAGTTGTGGATGCGCACTGCGGATGAGTCCCATACCAGGAAGAAACGGCTGTCCAGTGCTTCCAGCTTTCTAATGGTGGTCTAATAATGATTGATTGATGATTTCAAATGGGTAAATGATGAATCGCCTTCTGCATTTCGAAACAATATTTCATTAACCACGAATTAATTGTAAACTTTTACTACGTTTCTTCTTGATAATAAGTGATTACTTTAGAGTTAAATTAAATAATAACGCTTGACTTATGTTTAATAAGGCAATCATTGACTTTTATAAAAAAAGAGATTACAGAACAGAAAGGAATAAGTTCTAAATGATCTATGCTTTGTACTTATCACTTACTGCTTTAAAAGTAAAGTTTAGACAGAATAAATGACCTACAAGAGTTTCATTAGAACGCATTTGTTTCCCCTAAAAGAAAGTAGCTTTTCATGCAAAATGAGTTGACTAAAACCAAAAGAATCTTCAAGATGTTTTGTTTCCATTTGTTGATAATTACATTTCTGCTTCCGGCTTTTTCCTTCTGGAGCAAAATATTATTTCCCATAGGAAATCCATTTTTTTAACTTAATTTTCTATTTCCACTTAATTCACTCACTGAAAAAATAAATTTCGGAGAACAATTTCACTTTGTAACTAATTTTTTTTGATTTAACGAATCAATATGCTTAAGAAATTTCATTCACAATGTACCAGAATGGAAAAGTGTTTTATTCTACACTATACTAACGTAGTAATCAATCAGATCAGTCATTTAGTTTCGCATAGAACCAACCAGAAAATCACACACTTCAACCGTGTCATTCAAATCCACAGTCTGAGAAAAGCATTCAATCAAACTTAAGGTAGAAAATTCGCTTGTTTTCTGATACATGAACTAAAATTTCTAATTATAGTGCTGTCTTATGAAATACTGTTATTTTTTGTTACGGTTTATGATATGATTTACATATTTGTGCAAATAGTTGTGTTATAGTTTACATTTCCCAGTAAAACATTTTGCAACTTAGTAATTGTCCTGAAAATATCATTGAAAACTTTTAAAATGAAACTATCCATCTATAAATAACAATTCTAGTGAAAGTTGTTGAACTGATATTGTGGTCTTCTTACCCTAGCGTCAAGGTACGACAGAAGAATTATAACGGATTTTGAAAACATTCAGAATTAAAGCTTTCTGTAAAACAACCAACACTCTGCGAAACACTTCAGTTAGAGTTACGGACAAGAACCTCTTTAAATCCATACAAATTGCCTTATAGAAAATAGGTGATATCGATTGTGATGCGCCCTCTATTGAAGAGTCTTCTCGTGAAATCTTGAGTCGTACCAAATAACACAAAAAGACTTAATAATAACAGGACTGGAAAGTCTACCAGTTAAATCAGCAATACCAGTACATACTATTTTCACTAATTCTCAATTCGATATTAAAGGTTTTTCCAGTTATAGCAAGAGATGAGTGGCCGAAACATTTCATATAATGCTGCTCTCTTATTCCTTTGTTCTCAGTATGAAAGAATTTCTAACTAGTCATCCAACCTGGACTAATTGTCCACGCAACTACATTTGACTCATTATCTGCGAAATTCTACGCATACACAAAGGTTTTTCTTGAAGCCTTAGCTGTTTCATTACATTTATGTATTGAGGCGCATAATTTAAGTTTAGGCATCAGGAACAAGGTATAAATTGTTCAACACATTGAATATTCTACACGTAGCTATAATATCATTTACCATAAAAATCTATGAAAGCAAGGTGTTTACTTTATTTCCATAGAGATCTGGTTATTTTTAATCCGGTACAAATTAAATGCAATATCACAATAGGATCATAGTCTGTGGTACTTGCTTACTTACTTACGCCTGTTACCACCAATGGAGCATAGGCTGCCCACCAGTTCCCTCCAACCAACTCTGTCCTGGGCTTCCATCTCCAGTTCTGTTCAATGTTTGTTCATTCCTCTTATATCTTTCTCTATTCCTCGGCGTAATGTGTTCCAAGACAGTACGACATAATAATAATCAATCATAGTTAGACATTAAGACCACTGGATGCCGGCCCAGTGGTCCGACGGTTAGGTGTTCGCGCACAATACCGAAGATCCTGGGTTCGAATCCTGCGAAGAGCAGGAGTCGTGGATACGCACTGCTGATGAGTCCCATACCAGGACAAAACGGCCGTCCAGTGCTTCCAGGTTTCTAATGGTGGTCTAACAATAATTGATTGATGATTTCAAATGTGTAATAACACAAACCTCCAAAATTCTGCCCCAAAAAGTTATTATTATTGTTTATTGAATGTTATTTCTAGTCATTCAAAGCAACAACCAAAGGCTCAGGATTTCTGAGACCTAGGACTGAGGAAGTTGTTTTATCAGAAAATGATTCCATTGGCTGAATGTTAGTATATTCTGACTGATTATAATTAAAAACTTAACTGAAACCATATTCACTGAGAATATGCGCATCTAATAAAACTGCCTTTTTATCGAATCAAATAAAATAACAAATAAAATTTACTAAATATGAATTTGCTTAATTCGACGAACTTTAACCCGTCGTCCAATGATAAAAGTTTGAGTACACAAACTATGATGTGTCACTGCT